GTTTTTTTTTTTTTTTTTTGAGCAACACTTCTAGGCTGAGACATGACTGAGGAGGACCCCATATCAGGAAGACCAATCTCCAGGCCTCGGGCCAACGGGCTCAACTTTAGGACCCGGGGGAAGAATACTGAGGTGAGGTGGAGAGGTGGGCAGGGTCAGAGTGTCTTGTAGGACGAGGTTAAGTCTAGAGTTAATGCAAGTGAGAAGGGACCCTACTCCTTGCTCTTGGCCTAAGGCTTATGAAGTCTTATCTATATTTCAAGTCTCACGCAGCTCCTCCTGGACCCTGGACTATCGAAGGTCCAGAGTCGGCGTGGTAAAAGCTGTCTGAAGAGGTTGGCAATCATCTGCCAAAAGATGATGGAGTGCGGCTGACTGCCGGCTTATCTGCCTGCCCAGTGGGTGGGTCATGGTGCGTACAGGAATTGAAAAGATCATTTTGGAATGATGGAGATCGTCTGACTAAGATTTTATTTTACATTTAAAGAAAGTAAGTCCCAGATATTTGTAGCTCGTATTCCTGTCTCACTCTGCTCTTTTCTATGGAGGGCCCACTCTCCCACCAAAGTATCTCTGTTAATAACCAGATGGGTATGCTTAACTGATTAATTAGCTAACATCATTCAGGAAGGATAAACAGAAACAGATGCCACCCATATAGAAACTTCTCAATCCCTTTGCTGCAGAAAAAAACAAAAATGTACGAGCAGCGTTTAGTGTAATTTTGCAATTGTTAATTGTGCTGGGATCATTATTTAAAAATTCTGTCTTCTTATAACCTCTTAGTGTGCAAAATTAATCCAATGAGAAAAGCTAAGTGAAGATGGTTTGAAACAATAATTTTCATATAGCATAAATATATTGATGATTTGGCTTATAAGTCAATTTAATGAATTTTATTGCTGTGAAACTGTTTCTTCATGCCTAGATGAGTTAATATAAATCAAGGTTTTTGAATTGGAAATGTAAAGATCAGACCTGAAATTGTTTTTGCTGAAGTGGGAATTACTATTTTAGAACTTTCAAACAGTGGTCTGATAAAATTTAATACTGCTTGTATTTTATTACCTTTGTATATGACAAGCCTTAAAAAACTACCTTCTTTAGAGGCCCTAAATCAGGATTAAAAATAAGCTTTCTAAACTTTTAACTTGAGCCCAAATCATCAAGATGGAAATTAATGGTGACAGACAAAATACATAGGAATTCAGATTCCCAAATCAGATGTAAAATCTCAAAATGGTGCACCTGGCCTGAAAACAACCCCTAAAAAGAAGATCTTGGAATTTTTGTTGATTATTACTTAAAAAATAAAGAAAGTTGTGATAAATTGTCTTAAGTGGTAATAGACCGAAGTAATATCACTCTCACAGTAGGAAAGGTTAAAAAAATGTGTGTGATCCTCTCATGAATCCAGTGTTTGAAAGATGAGCTTTGGCATCAGAAAGATGTGTGTTTTCAATTCCATCATCTTTCATTATGACTCTGGGCAAGTCTTTTGATTTTTCTTATCCACCTTCCTGAAAAAGGGCTTACCAAACTGGACTTAAGTAGCAGAATGGATGTAAGAACTATGTGAAAACAAATCTTGAGCACCTAACCAAATGCTTGTGTTGCAGTGGAGGTTAGTTGGCAGTGCTAATCATTACAAAAACATCCTCAAGGGATGACAGTATATGCTTGAGGTTTTCAGAAGAGGCAGGCAGGTTCTCTGCCTTGGAATTTCTTTCATCTTTTAGCAGCTGTGCCTATTGGCAAGTTCTTTCCCGATTCTCTAATTCTCTTCCACATAACAGTGTTACAGATCTACTAATACAAATATCATATGTATCAGAGCGTTCTCAGGATAACATTTTTGTCTCCTCAGATTAGAAGATGGATTATCCCCTTTCTTTACCAGCCAAGTTTCTCTAAGATAATTGTATTTTGTCAGTTTCTCTTTAAATGTGTTGTCCAGGATTGAATTCACTGTTGTGGGTAGTATGTGACCTTAAGAGTCAGCTTTTCTCACTGGATACATTTTGTACACTGAAAGATTGTAAGAAGATAGAATTTTAAAATAACATCTTATTTCTTCTGGGATCTACTTATTTCAAATGCACCTTAAATCACAATGTAGTCCTGAGAACAATAGACTCCAAGTGAACTATCTTTTGACAAAATTTTCTAAATAATTTTCACATATTATTGTACATTTTTGTTTTCTCCCATCCAAGTACTAACCAGGCCCCACCCTGCTTAGCTTCTGAGATCAGAAGAGATCGGGCACGTTTAGACCCGTAGACAATTTTTGTTTTCTGTACTATTTTTTTCACTCCATGTATGCTTGCTAACTAATCTTTCACTAATTAATAATTTTATTCTTGCTCATCACTCTGACACGACTAAGGACTTTTTTTTTGGCCCTGGGAATCGAACTCAGAACCTTGAGCTTGCAAGGCAGCCGGTGGAGCCACTGAGCTAACCTCTCGGCCCATTAAGGTCATTTTAAAACTTTCAGTTTTGTTACTCAACACATCCCTTTCCCTTCCACACCTTCTACACCACCTTCCCATTCTGAAGTACGTGCTGCCTAGGACATAAAGAGAGGAGGTGTCTTTGGGAGGCCATGGAAGGTCATTCATACTTCAGCAGACCTTCCTAAGTGTTGCCCTCTGAGTAGAATTGCTTTGTGAATGAGCTACATGTTTCCCTTGCATTCAACTTCTGCTATTTGTCTTTTCCGGAAGCTTCTTATTTAACTTGTCACATATGACATCAATCATACTATCTATCTTTATGAGTTTAATTATTGAAAATTTATTTTAAAGAGGCCCTGATAAATACTAAACATTTGGAGGAGAACCAATATGACAGATCCTCTGGGAGTTGGTGCCATTAAAATTGTATTTTAATAAGTGAAAGAAAATACATGGTTTGAAGATTCTCACTCTTTTAATGTTTGGCCTGAAGAAAGAGAATCTAAGGAATAGCTATTAAGTGGAAAAAGAAATAAAGATATTTGCAGATATAGAACTACTATCATAAAATTGGCTAACTTTGGTGAAGAACCTGTGAGTATTTTGCCCCAAACTATGATTGCCTAAGGGATTGCTGACTTCAGCCTATTCTTTTGAATATTAAGAATCTTTAAGAGATAGAAGGAAGGGAGGAAGGAAGGAAGGGCAAGGGGGAATACAAAGAATGAAGAGGTATTATGTCCATGTACTAACTCCCCATTGTGAATCTATCATTATGTACCGGAAACATACTAATAAGAATAAATTAAAAATATCAATAAACAAGGTAGTACGTTATACAAACAACAGTGAAGTAACAGTGGAAAGCGGTCAAGGGAGTCTCTAAAGAGCACATCAGAAAGACCACCCAGGGCTTGCAGAATACTGAGAAGCTCCCTCAGTTAAGGAGGGAAAGGAACTTAGAGAAGAGGAATAATGCAAGCACAGTAATCCCAAACAACAAAGATAGTTTTGCTGCAAATGAAGTGTAGAATATGCTATGTAGTCAAGAGTGTAAGTGTAAGTGTTATGAAAGCAAGATACTGCTGTCATATCTCTAAGGGTTGGTTCTACAGATAAATACATGTGTCACAAGAAATGTGAAGTAAGTTTTGGTGACACCAAGTAGTCAAAGCCAACTCTGCTTCTCAGTTACATAGCACAGAAAAAAAATCAATATATATGCTTATTTTCATTTCAGGATACAACAAATGCAATTAGTCTAAAACTCTGCATTCAAGGCAATGTTCCAACAATCCACATATTTCAAAATAAAAGAAATAAATATTTGACATGGCTGTAAGAAATAAAATGTTAGCAAAAATAAACATCTAAAGAGAATATTAAGAATGTACAGTCTTAATATGTATATATTCTACAAAGTATTAAGTGCCCCAACATAGATTTATACACTTAGATATAAAAAGTATGGTAACCAATCAGATTTCCTAATACACTGAGGTTCAGTAATTTGTCCAAGTTATAGATGACCCAACTCTGCAGCTGACTAGGGTATGTTTTGCTGCAAAATCCTCTTGCCATCTATTTTGCTGAGACACCCAAGAAGGCTTGTTATCACCATGATAATTAGTATTGAGGAAAGCTCATAGGGTTAATCTACTTAGGAATCAAAAAATTAAAAACATCAGTGATAAAAGATTGGACTGGTTATCTTGAAAAATAAAACTAAAAATTGCTATAAAACCAGACATTTCATCTTATAGTTCATAAAATTTATGTTGCATAACTGCTCGTGAGGAATAAAGATTAGTCATGTTAGCTGTTTAGTAGTAGAATATGCTGTTCTTTATCTCATGGTTGTCTTGTGGCTCTGTTTTCGAGGATCTCTCTTAATCCTTTAATGTTTAAAGGGAACTCTTATGAATGAAGGCTCTGTCTTTATCATCTGGTCATTGCTTGTTTTTGTTGTGAACTTTTCTAATTTGAAAAAGTTTTCATATCTCAATGCTATACATTTGCTTTGATCAGTTCTCTGTTACAACAATTGCCAAATTCATGTGTCCACTGAAGGCATTGGTTCCACTTTGCAATTAGCGTGATTGTTTATCATTAGCATGAGACTGGCCAATGTCTTTGGCAGAAACAGACACTAGTGTTAGGTGGAGAGTGCTGTTTGACAAGGAACTAATTCCAAGTGCCATTAGAATATAGTTTGTGCTAAATTGACTTCTGCTTTCTTACAGTTTTCTTCATTTAAAACTACAAGGACTTGGTTGATCAATAGTAGGATGATGATTGCTACTTCTGTGATTCCTGACTTTTCCAAACAGGTATGCAAGTGTAACATTATTTTAGAAAAAAATCTGAACTTTGAAAGATTTTACTTCAGTAATACTTGGGACATTGACTATCCTGCAGAGTTTGATAAAACTTTGACCTTTTTAGAAGCAAAGGGGTCCTACTTAGGCTTTAAACCTTACTTTTTAAAGCAGTGAGCCGCGGTGATGAGCCAGGTGTTACTAATCAAGGTGGCCCCACACTGATGGATGTTATTGCGCTGAAGGGAAGCTTGCCAAGGCCAGGCACCCTTGGGTGCAAGTTCTCCAGACATTATTCTGTTGACTGTTAGTGGTACAGCTCGTTTACCGCAACCTGAAAGAGATGAGATTATTAAGTCATAGGAAACAAACATCTCACACTCGATACAGAGAACTTGATAGAGTACTGTAATACAGTATTTAAGGCTACTATTGTATAAGCATCACTCCATCCTGTCCACTTTCTGTGATCCCAGGTGCACGACTCTTCTTGTAGTAAACCTTTGTAGAAGCGGGCACCTATTGCTCACTGAAGCGTTGTTACACTGCAAGGATTGACACCCTACTAATTAACCCAGTGGACTTGCCTTGTCAACTATCTATTTACCCTGGGAGCTCCCAGGAGGACTACTGTTTCCCAGTGTTAGGTGATCCAAAGGTGTTACCTTGACAGGAAGTCCTTACTAGAGGAGCAACTTCCACTGGCCATACATGTAATTGCCTGTTTGTTGAAAACCTACTCTCCTTTTCTGAATGACTGCTTTCCTCTAAGATGTGCATGGATTATTGTAGCGCAACTATTTTCTCACTCTTCAGGATGAAAGTTTCTAAGATTTCAAGTAAACACTATGTGACTAAACATGTATTTTATCATATGCATCAAATTTAGGATTCCTGCTAAGAATTAAACCTATTTATAGCACAATATGCACTAAGAAATGGTAGATTTATTTCTTGCTCCAACTAAGTATAAAAAAGAAAATGTATTTTACTGGTAGATTACACTCCCCACATGGTGTGGCCAGCTGTTTTAAAAAGCTTATTGCTCTCAGTTTAGAATACTACTTTTCCTCATCTGAAGGAATAGCGTATTTTCATTTCTCATCTTGATTCTAGTCTTTCCCATCTAATTCATTCTCCACATTGGAACCTGAGTGACCTTTTTGAAATGTCCAAACCTTTCAGACATTTCATTGTCCTCCTGATAAAGTAATAAAGTTTCCCTGTGGTTCTGGTCCTTGATCACTATTCATCACAGTGCTTTCCCACTGCTCCCAGTACTGCATATTCCAGTTGTGCTGACACTTTGTCAATTACGAGATGACTACATTCTGATTGCCTTGAAGATGTTTTTTATAAACTATTTCCCATGCCCAGGCACTCAGTGCTGGTCACTTGCCTTATGGCCTCACCTCTGTTTTGTTTCCAGGATCATGTGCTGACTCTACAGGACCAGGCTACCTAAATTTCTCCCCACCCCCTTTTTTTTGAAGTAACAGCTTTATTGAACTAAGATTTGTATAGTATACAATTTGCAAACTTGAAGTGTATGATTCAGTAGATCTTAGCATATTGACAGAGGTGTACAACCATGGCCACAATCAAATTCAGATCATTTTTGTTATCTCATAGCAAAATATTCTAACCATTATCTATCATCTCCCAACGACTTCTCCCAAAATCTAGGCAACCACTGAGCTCCTCTGTATCTTCATAGATTTTCCTATTCTGGGAATTTACATTTTTTATTTAAAAATAGATCACACTTATAGCAACAATAAAGAGCTTGACATATCCAAAGAAATAGAAATCTTGCAAAGTGAGCTCTCACACTGCATTGGACAGCAGAAACACATTTAAGTTACAATAACTCTCTCTTTCTCTCTCTCTCTCTCTTCTCTTGCTCCCTATTGTCCATCTTTTATTTCATGCTTTATTTATATATTAACTTTTTTATATAAGGGAAGCCATGTGATGTTCAGGCTTTTGTGTCTGATTTCCTTCACTTAACATTATGGTATCTTATTGACTCTCATAGCAGTATATACTTTATCTGCTAAAGCATTTATCACACTATTGTAGTATGTCTTTCCCTATCTTTGAATTATAATTTTGAACACAATCCAATCTTATTCACAACGATACCACCAGATCCTGACATCTGGTACTTGGTGGATATTAAGTGATATTTGTTGAATGAATAAATGACAAATACATAAAAAGCACTAGTGAAATTCTTTGCCATTTTCTTTCAAAATTAAGGCCGAAGTAAATTGAAGTGGGTTAGTGATGCCACCATCAGCTATGAATATGAGACCATTAAATAAGTTTTGAATAGCAAGTTTTTTAAGATTTATAATTTTAATAAAAATTTATTTATTTATTATTTATTTATTTATTTATTTTTGTTTTTTGAGACAGGGTCTCACTATGTAGTTGAGACTGACCTGGAACTCACTATGTAGCCCAGGCTGGTCTCAAACTCACAGCGTTCTTCCTGTCTCAGCCTCCTGAGTGCTGGAATTACAGGCATGTGTTACCACACCTGGCTTATTAATAAAAGAAATGTTCAGTCCATGGTGATGATATCATTAAATAAATGAACAAACTAAGGGATTAATAAAAAATGGATACTTAAATAACTTCAACATATCTCCTCACAAAAAGTTACCAAGTAATTTTGCAGGAATGAAATATGGCAGATTCAATGACAATCAAGTAATCAAAATGAATATCATCACCAATGGGACAAAATGAAATAAGCTGTCAATTTCCATACCAGAAATGCAAAACCCAAACTAAAGGGTATTTCATAGTGTAGTAGGCCTATAGTTGAAGTGTCTAGGTCCCGTAAAGTAAAGGAGAAAGAGAAGATGTTGAAGACTGAAGAAGCTAGGAATCTTGAACAATTCTTTGCAATGTATGACTCTGGAACTAGATCATATTTTTCTACGGATATTATTAGAAAAAGTGAGAAACTTGAATTATGTCTATATATTGGACATACTATCTAAAAAGTCATGCTTCTAATAATATCTTCATTTAGGTGTTACTCATTATGCATTAGTATTAATTTTCTGATGATGGTTATAATGTAGTCATATAAAACAATGTCCCTTTTGTGGTTATATACAATTTAAGATTCAGGAGTGATAGGAAGGATATAATTCACATGATTTATTCTCAGAGAAAAAGATCTTGTGATATACTTTCAAGTTTTTATAAATTTAATGTTAGCTCCCAAATAAATAAAAGACCCCCCCAAAAAAAGATCTTCTGAGCCCCATGTGAGAAAGTGAACAAATTATTTAACATAAATTTCAGGAGTTATCCTGATAGCTTAAAAAATTATCGATGTATCTCTGAGTGCTATCTTTATAAATTTTTTAAAAAGTTTGAATAGCAAATCTTAAATAACAGAGTTTATCACTGTCTCGTTATCATTTTCTAATTATCCTATTTCTTTTCAGAAAGCACATTACATTAAATCTTTAAAAATTTAGAAAAACAAGTCCACTTGTTCCAAACCAGAAGTATATACTTTGTACAAATTTCTCCAGAATTATCACAATGTTAAATTTTTTTTTAAACATAAATTTTAAAACTCAGTCTTAGATTTAGGAATACAGAATTGCTATCTATTGTTCAATTATTGCTCCTTTTCAAGAAAATATGGCCCATATTGGCTCATACTTGGAGATATCTTTGCTGCTATGGAAATCGAAGTAATTTATGTAAGCTAACTTACATGCTTGGAAAATTAGCTTTCCTGTTGATGAGCTCATTGCTGAAAAACAAAATAAAATAAAGAATGATAATCTGATATTCTCTTCCTTGGTCCCAATGACCAAGAATTATCAGAGCACACTGTCCATATCTGGATTCTAGACAATGTAGATGAGTCAGGAGAACAGCCATCTAACAGAACAACAAATTGTAGGTTTTGCAGAGATTGATAGGCAACCTCTAACAAGGTGGCTAATGTCTGAAACAGCAGGACACAAAACTGTGGAGGTTAAAATCCACAGATACTTTCAATTAATACAAAACTGTGTTTTCCCAACAGTGCAGTTTCGGGAAAGTCTCTTTGAATTCCACTGCAGGTGAGGGGGAAAGGGGAGTACTAGTTGGGCCCTGGCCTCAAAGGCAGGCTCAGCCAGAACAGGTCCCCTTTTGTCTCTTTTGTTACTTAACATTTCACATAAGCCTTTTTTTTCTTTTGTGAAGGTGAAGCAGGATTTAAAAAGGAGGAAAAACAGGTTTCTCCAACCTAATACCTAAGCTGTTGTGCTTGTTCTAATACAGATAAAATCAGGAACTTTGTCCTTGTAAGTAAAATTTTATAATCTCCTATTCTCTTAACATCCTGTTTTTACCTCACCAGGGCCACTGGGTTATGTGAAATTGCAAAACTGTTCCTTCCTTCTTTTGTTCCCTTTCTCATTTGAAAAAGATCTCCCTACTTCCTATTATCTATCCTTTATTTTTCTCTACTTGTGCAATGTGATTTTAGCTTTGCTTTAACACACTGTATCTAGTGAAGATCCTGCCTCACAGTTATTTGTCAAAACAAAACATAGCTTCTTGATAAACTACGGATTAATCTTAAACTACCGGGTTATGTATAGGCTTGACCTAGAATCTCTATTGTCTTAAATTTCTATTTTTTTTTTAATTCAAAGATTACATATTTCCGTAGAACAATATTTTTGCATGTTTAAGAATTGCCTTAAAGATGCTACTTTATGGGCCTTTCCCAAACACTAGTAAACACCATATATTTGAAAATAACTAACATTTTAAGGTTAGTTTAGTCTACTACTAGTCCCTCATACTAATGGCATCAGGTTTCTGAAGCATACACACAATTTAATAGTTTCACACTAATCATGTAACCACTCTATCCACACAATATTTTTGTATATTTGCATGATAATTTTGTGATTTCAGGAAGCATAAACATTATCACTGCATTTTACAGATGTGAAAATGAGCAAAAAAGTATGGGCCAATTTTGAGCTCCTGTGGTAATGTAGTGGAATTACAATTAGGTCCCTCTTAAATTAAGTTTTCCATCAGTTCATCCAATCTTTTGATCTAGTACAGTTGCTAAATTAAGAGAACTCATAAACTCATCCCACAAGATACAAGACCAGGCAACCCATGACTATTGCATGCTTCATTTCTAGTTTCTGATAGCTCAGGCTTTTAAATGCCTGACAGATTTACTCATTATTGGTAGTTATATACAGCATATCATGTAACTTATCGAAATGGCCACTATTTCACAAGATTAATTCATGTGTCTCACCACCTCACAAAGAAGGTGGATTAAGCAGTTGACAGGTCCCTCCCTCCTGTCTACAACTTTACTCCTGGAGTAGCTGACTCTTTGTCACATGAGCAAACTTCTGTCTGTTTCATGATCTCGGAACCTCACTTCCTGGTGAAGTTTCCTTGTGAAGAGTCAGCTAGATCCTTGGCAGGCTGGGCATCCTGTTTGATGCTTGCTGTAAATCACTTGCTTGACTGTCTTCCATCTGGTATGTGTTGGATTTGTAGAGGAACTGTGTACTTGTCCACTTACTGGAGGGAGATGCTGAGGAAGCAGTTTAGCATACGAGGGTAAACAAGTTTCTGTCTAGCTGATTCCTCAGAATTGCTAACACGCTGATGTAAGGGGTGGATTTCCAAGAGACTAATATCATACACAGAATTTATAAAATGTGTTTAAGCACAGAGCCCCTTTTAAATAAAGCCTAACAAGAAATTAGAGATCTAAGCTCCTTTTATTAGATTCCCTAAACTTTTGCTTGATCATTACATCTACGAAGTTCAATTTTCCTATTTCATTGGAACACAGAAATTTAATCATACACTGCCTGTAAAAAGCATAGTGATGGGCCCTTATAAACAATTCTCCTCCATTTAGGCAAGTGATGGTAGTGGAATGAGCTAAGGAAACTCAGAAGAGATGAGTGGATTGACGGATAAATGGTTCCAGGGATATTTTTCCTAGTTTAGTGATTTTTAAAGCATTATTTATCTGATTGCTTACCATTTCCTCATAGGAAAGAAGCTAACAAAAATGTCATAGCATAGCCATGTATATATACAAATCTATCCTTTGTGTATGTGTGTGAGTGTGTGTGGGGTATTAGAGATTAAACTTGAACCCAGGACCTTGAACATGCTAGGCAAGCACTCTACAAGTGAGCTGAATCTCCAGCCCTTTTTATGTCGAGGCAAGGTCTCACTTCATTGCCTATGCAGATTTTTAACTTGCTACCTTCCTGCCTCAGCCCCCTAGGTGGCTAGAATGGTAGTCCTGTACCACCACAGCCAGCCAGGCCATACTTTGTGAAGGCAACAAATAAGGTGTTTTTTTCAGAAAGTCTCATTCTGCAATTCAGATATTGCTCAATCCTTGATATTTCTACTTCTTAATCATGGAGGAAGTGGCTGGGTCAGATTAACCCTCCATTGGTAATAAAAGCTTGTCCTTTTTTGGGATGAATGCCAATCAACTACTTTCAGATAAATCACTTGACATATCAGACATGTTCTCATTACAGAACAGTAAAACCTAGAACTATCACTTTTTTAAGTTTAACTTTTCCATGAATTCTGTTCATCCTTTTTAATTTTTGTGGTGCTGAAATTCTAACTCAGGTTCTTCTGCATGGTAGGCAAGTGTTCAACCAAATCCTCCTACAGCTCCAGCCCTCTTCTATGACAGGTGAATTTGTGATTGCACAAAATGTGGACTTAATAGAGAACTTCACATCCTATAGAAAGGCACCTACTTACCATTAACTTGAACCGATGAAACATTTATTGGCAGGGCTCTTTTATTCCTTATCTGCCGATTTAAGATGCTATGAATTTCTTTCTCTCTTACTGTCCGCTGCCCAGTGGATGGGAACTGGAATACCATGATGAGGTCTGCTGTCACACTATCTCCCTCTGGACTGTCACACACAAGAGAAAGGTACATAGTCAGAGAATGCTCCTGGGATCGTCCTGTGTGCTTTCTTATACTTCCCTGATTTGTGACTCAACTGCTGAGAATGCCAGGAGTTAATACTCCCATTTGTACATTCTTCTATATGACATTGACTGACTTAAGACCATTTCACAGTTCCCTTGTCCAGCCCTTGTATGTTTTGAGTGCAGTTTTCCCACTAATGTGAAGGCTTGTTGCAGAATTTAAGACTCAGGCATAAAAAGTAATTATCAAAATCAAAATCTTTGAGGATTGAAAGAAACCACTACGTTCTCTTAGGCCAATCAGTTACATATTTGATACCTAGAGTCAGCTTTACAGGGCCCATGACAGGTGATCCTCCAACCCGGCACCACCATTAAAATGATGGAAATGTCCTTCCTTGTGGAGGCTGGCTTCTCTTTGGTCAGGCCTGATTTTATGAATTCTTTATTTTGAATTGAAATATGTCTCCCTTTATCTTCCATAATATAAGTCTTGAGTCTGCCAGTTGGGGACGTACATAAAACATCAATTCCCTCTTCCACATAAAATACTTAAGGAAAGCAATAATATATAGTCTTGCAGTCTGCTTGAGATTAAACATGCCCAGTTTCTTAAATTTTTAATATAAACAGGTTCAACTTCCTCTACCTGTGGAACTGAATTTTTACATACTTTTAAAATAGAAAAATTGTTATCAGAGGTGCATATAAAATTTAAATTAATATGCGTTCATCTGCCATGCCTTCTATTTTTATACAATAAAATATATATGGTAATTAATTTTTTTTAGCTACACAAGCAAATCATGCCAATTCTGAAACATTTTAGCAATTGTGATTCATTTAGGCTCTGGACTATGACAATATACATAATTATAATTTTATGTCAAATTGGCAAACAGGTAACTGTCCTTAGTCACAGTAATTAACCCTATTCATCAGATAGATTTTCTCTGGACCTCTATAAAAATTACATAATGATAAGATCTATAAATCCAAAGGAATTCTTAAAATTATGATGAGTTGAAATGCTATGGCAAATCAGAATTTGAAAAAGAAGCCATGAAATCTAGAAAGTTCCAGCATTCATATGCTTTTAAACTGCCTAAATAATCCTAATAATATTAGAAAATTCTGAAGTCACTAATGTTTACTTATCAGGAAACATGTGAAGAAACTAAATTCTAAGTAAGTCTGCCAAGAAGGCAGTAATAGACTGCTGGTAAGAAAAGTAGTTATTTCCTTCAAACAAACCCATGTCTGAACCTAGTCTTTTTCTTCAAGAAGATGAGTTCAGGTCCATACAGGTTCATATGTTTGTGTCTGTGACACGCATGCTGTGCTATGTGATTTTCAAAATAACACAACTGAAACCTCTGAGCAACTACTGCCACTGATGTGAATCTCCCCCTTCACCACAACAAAAGGAATACTTATTCGCAGTAGCATAGAGGAGTGTCTTTTTGTCTGGGCATGCCTCTTGTCAACAGGGCTTCAGAATATGTAAAACTTATGATCGCATTTTGTAGCCAGTTTTTCCTTCTTCGTACTTTTGAAATGACTTAGCTCAAGAAGCATACAATTTTGTGAGTGCTGCTGGGTTTTCCTAAGGATGTGGCAGATTCTAGGCCTTACTGTCAGTTGACAGTTAGTTGCGGTTATGCGACATTGTGTCACTGTCCCTAGGGGAGCTCCATGGATCACTTTCCCTCATTCTCAAATCACTAAATATTTTTTCAAAAATAAAAAGTGATGGTCAGCCCTGTATCTGGAGACTGTTGTGGAGAAAATATTTATGAGAAATCCTAGACAAGAGCCTACTCCGGAAAGATGCACAATCTGTAAGGGTCCCTTTGTCTGTCCGTTGCCCTTCGTGCCTTCAGGCTCATGACCACACCTCTGCCCAAGCATACGTACATCAGTCTCACTACTTGGTTCTTGACATAGTGCTTGTTTAAGGCTGAATCAATAAATATCTCATCCACCTGTTGTTACAAAAAGAAAGAAACTATGTGTTAATAAGGTGTTTTATAATAGGACTATATTGTTGGATAAATGTTAAAGCAATAGGAAATATTTTCAAAGAAGCAATATCATTTGTATCAGTGATTCTTAACCTTCACGGGAGGACAGAATTATTTGCTAAATTAAAAATAAATTACACATCCTGTGGCTTCTGTCCCAGAATTTTGGTTTCAATTAATTTGGTGAGGACCAAGTCAGGCGTATTTTAAAATTCCAGGGTCTGGGGCAGGTATTTGGAGTCGAAGATATCATCTGAAAATTTTGTGGCATGAGGCTTTGAGAAATGGTGAGGAGAAGCCTAACTCCATCCCAGGCTTGATCAGCTTCTTCTGCTCATGAATTGGGCAACCTTGGAAAAGGTACTGAACAGATTTGAGCCTCAATTTCCTGACACATAAGACAAAGATCCTGATATGTTACTCAAAGGCTAGAAGGACTAGACACATACAGCATAAAGAGATGAGTATGTGTTTGTAGGCACCTGCTGGTGTCTCTAGCTCTCCTATTGGCATGGCAGTCTTAGCTTTCTCTTAGGGTCTTTAAAGGAGCTCTGAGGCACAGGAAGAGGGATTAGGGATTTAGAAGAGAGAAAGATTTTTAAATTGTTGTGGATTGTGTACTTTACAGTAAATCACAAAGGAAGAAAGAGTGAGGTGATGTTGGAATATCAAATTGAAGTGGTGTTAACTCAGATTAGGAGGACCAGGAAGAAGAAGAAGAGGGAATAACTGCTTTTGGGCTTCTGTGTACTTTGAACTGTCAGACACAGCTCAGGATCCATTACACTCAGAGTTTCTTTAAAGTATCCCCTCATATCTGCTTGGTGGAAATAGTGTTGTTAGAGTGCAGGCTTGGCAGTTCCTGTTGGGAGTGTAGATGAGCTGAATGTGAAAAGCAAATAAATCCTGAAGGAAGGAGAGGAAAACCTACTCTTCTTTGAAGCACACACATGCACGTGCACACACACACACACACACACACACCCCACACACCCACAGAGGGAAGGCTGTCTGTGGCCAAGCAAAAAGCTATGACATCTTTAGCTCCATCAGGAAGTCATGTATCTTCATTAGGAACCAAAATAAATGTTATCTAGTTTAATCCTCATGAATACTCTATAAATAAGAATTGTTTTGATTCCTGTTTTACTAAAAGTGGAAACTGAGACTCAGAGAGACATTTTGTGAACTTGAGGCTTCATGCAGATAATAATCAACTGACTTAAACACAGACCTGCTACTCTCTGCTCCCAGCCTCTCTACTCAGTCACACTGAGTCACACTGTCTGATTGTTAATATGATACAAATTTATTTACTTTTCTTTCCTTGAAAACATAGAAATAAATTTTCAGATAAATAGTTCATTGACTTGGGGATAACCTAGTATATTATAAAGATATACATATGGTAATAGCCACAAACAGAAGACCTGAGGCAACATTTGAAAAATAAATAAATTGTTAGTATCCAAAATGTATTTTCATTTGTACTTAAATAAGGAAATCAAATTTGATGATTTGAGTTTATTTGCTAGAAAGGAAACTATTTTGTAAGACATGTTTTTTCCAAGTGTATTATTGTTGTAATGATTTCTTGTCACCCACAACCAGTACTATTTGTATCTAGAAGGGAAATCTAAAAAGAAAGGGAAGCAAAAGGAAAGGGGGGAAAGGTGATCAGCTTTATAAAGAAGAAAAGGAAACAGCAACTGGCTATATGAAGAAGTCTGGTTTGTAATTAGTTTCGGGGTAAGATCCACCTACACTGGCAGTTTGTAACTTGTTGATGAAGGGATAGGATTAAAGTTTTGATTCTATGGAGGACAGTGTATATCTAGCATTATGCCTGCTGAGAAGAGTGGCTGAACCCAGCCTTGATTTCATCTTCAAAAGGCTGGGTTCTCTGGGAAGATAGGAGCTAAAAGAAGAACACAGTAGAATCTGTCTGATCATGATAATTGAGAATTATATTATTTTTAAATCATATGCCAATACCTCTCTCTAAATCAACCTCATTAATTAAGTCTTTGATGAAGCTTAATTAGGTGTCTTCAGGCAGTCCTTGGGGACACTTTGATAAAGTAAATATAGGGACTGATAAAAAGGGTCCTGTGCTCATGAATAAGCACTATGGGGAAAACTGAAGAAAACGTGAATATCAGATATTTCTGAACGGAGTTTATGTATAAATGAGCTTTCTTGAAACCCAGAAATTGTGTTTCTTGGAATATTAAGGTTTACATCATTGAACATTATTTTTCTGTCATTTTAATGGCATCCCAAGTTCCCAACAGTTCTGGAGAAGGATTTTTTAAAAATCATTTATTTATTTATTTATTTATTTATTTATTTATTTATTTATTTATTTATTTATTTATTTAGATACCAGGGATCAAACTCAAGACCTTGTGCTTGCAAGTCAGGCGGCCACCACCAAGCTAAATTCTTGGCCCAAGAATGCTTTTTTTTTTTTTTTTTTAAATTCAAATCTGTAAATTTACAGTTTGCTGTAGATTTATTTTTATTTGCATTAACCTAAGAGGACTAGTGATGTATACATCTATCTTACCTCTCACTTTGGGGTATTTGTAGAGCTTTACATTTGGAGTTAGTTTCCTTACATTGAACAAAGGATGTCTTCTCAGGGCAGTCCCTCTCTGCTGGATGATTTTGGAATGCTGAAAAGTGAACTGGACTGAGATCAAACTCTAAGAAGGCAATTAAGGATTAGCTGGACATTTAATGAAATAGTTAAGCGGGGGCTGACAACTCATAGACAGAGCCCAGCCATCAGCTCTCTTTCTCTACCAGTTGTCTGCACATGTTGCTGCCTTTCCTCTCAGCTGGTTTCCACTGGCTTCTTTTATAACAGTCTCCCTATTCCTATCTTTGCTGTTTCCAAGCTGAGGCTGCAAATTTCTGATTCCTATACTATTGATGACCGGCAGATGGAATAGGAAAGCTCTGGCTTCCACTCTAACACCAGAGGAGCTCCTTGAGAAGTGACAAATCCAAAACATGCCATGAAAACTTTAGATCGAGTTGCTTACTCTTAATTTTAATGAAGGTGCCACACTAAGAACGGTGCAGAAGACACTTTCTAAAGGTGACCATTGTCCTTACCTTGGCCTTCTCTGATGTGACATTGCTACAAGGCTAGAACTCAGGATAGAAACAGAGTGCAGTCAAATCGCACTGGAGCCTCTGTTCACAACCTCTGCTCCTGGCCTGCCTGCTAAGTCTTCTGCACTATACAGCACTGTGTGGACCCAGCCCACATGTGACCCTTTGCAAGTGATTCCTCTATTCTGTGATACCCTCTGCTCCCCTGTTCTACTACTTCCGTTTTTCTGAGTCACAATTATCTTTCATGATCAATTGCACACACCACCTCATAATAATTCTATGTCCTCAGATTAACCTATCCTCCTTGGTCTGAGTTTTTAAATCCTTCTTACATCTTCTATTCCTTAGCATAGTTATTTATGTAGATACCATGTTTCCTTTCGAAACTTCAAAGCCTTTGAGTCTAGGCTCCAGCATGATTCTTGGCATGTAATAGGAAGCATATTTTTGTTCAGGGAATGAATAAATGAAAGAAAATGAAGATGTATTTATCAGAAAGCCTCACATTTGACAGGAAATTTTTACAATAGTTTAAAAGATATTTGGTATAAATACTGGTAGAGCAAAAAAGAAAATTGCATGTGAGTTATTCAAAGGGAGTTTTCTCTTCTTGTGGCCACTTTCAGGAGTTTGTTTCCTTGTGCAAAGCTCCCATGTCATGAGGATACAATCTTCCTATGAACAAGAATAATTATCACCATTGTTTGCCAGCTCTACACCAAATATGAACTCCCTTGTCTTTGAGCTCATTTGCTTTTCACATCACCATCTGTAGTGAATGCTATTATTATCCACATTACATGGATGAGGAAGTGACTTGCCCAACTTGACAGCAGTGAGGTGTAGACCCAGGACAGTAATCCAACTCCAGAGCCTCTTGACGTCCACTTGTTGGTTGCTGACCTCAGGGTGAGCACACAGGGAAGCCCTCTTCAAGAGCCCCTGCCCACTGCCAGGCAGTAAGAGCTGCCTAAGAGGACAAGAAACTGCAAAGCCAGATCCAAAAATAAGGGCATCATCTTAGTGACCTTTATTGCAATTTGCTACAGTTGTCATTAAATCTCTTTAAAATTCTAGTTACGTTTGATTGAAGAAGTTGGAGGTAAATTGCTCTGTCAAGCCTGAATAGAGAATGGCCAGCCTGAACCCTGAGTACCGAGTGCAGACTGGTCTAACTGCCAAAGCTCTGAGCCCAGAGCTGTATCTGCTGGTGAGAGGAGTTGGATGTGGTGTCATATGAGGTCTGGGGGTAGGATGCCATGGAAGTGTGATTTTTCAGATTACCGTGACCCAGGAGGTAATGCACTTGGCAAATAGGGTGTGACTTTATGCAATGTTGTTTATTAGTCATTTTCTTTTATTGCTCTTGTCCTTCTTCAAAGTCTCCTTGTGGAACGGCTGAAGGAAACACCCATCTGAGACCAACTTACAGCAGTTGTCAATATATTGGGAAACCTTATATTGAGATCGGGAGACAGGTCAATTAGAGAATTAAAAAGTTTGTAATTAAAGATTATAAAATATTATTTCAGTGTGCCACAAAATCTAGATCTGCAAATTGCCTTATAAAAAGAAAGAAAAACATCTAACTTGGATTTATTTAAGTTGTACGGAAGATACTTAAAAGCAGATTACTGCAGGAAAGTCATCTTTCAGAAGAAATTCATGGCCTTTTTGGGTTTGTTGCTCTTCAATCTATAAATATGATTATTCTATCTAAAGTGGTCGTGCACACACACAAACACACACACATACACACATGTGCACTCACAGAGATGGAGGGACAGAGAGAGAGAGAGATAGAGGGAGAGATTTCTCTCAGCCCCTCCAATAGA